CAAGTAAGCAAAGGCTACAGTCGAGCGGGGCCGACCGTTGAATACCCTACAACACTATAATAAACGATACATTTTATATAGGCGAGATACTCGAAAGAATTCCACAAGATATTGTGACAAATAATAAAAGAAAACCATCAGGTTTCGTTCTCTAGTTTTCGAATAATAGCAACTTTAACTGATTTGATCATTTCCAATTTATTTGTAGATGTTGCACTTAAATGGTCTTCCTAGATCTGGAACCAATATTTCCCAAAGATCTATAATCTCTCAGAAGTGGCAAAAGATTAACATTTATTATTGGTTTTTGACTGAAACGCATCTATATGAGATACAGCCATTTAACTATATTCTTCAACGAAATCAGCGTTAACGAAATAGTCGGAAGTGCGTCTTTCCTGTATTTGTGAATTCTCCAAAAAGTCACTGGAATGGACATTTTCATATTTTGTCTACAAAAGTTGGCAAACTCCTTCACACATTGAATATTTTTGGATGGCCATCCAAAACAGCTTGGCTTTTGCAATGTGCGGTAACCCCCATTCAAATGTGCGTGAGGATCGGGCGATAATTACGACCTGCCGACAATTTTGCAGTTTTTGGTCCATTTCAACCCCTTAATATATGGCTATCATCTCCAAAAAGAGTAGACTTCTATTCTGACCCTCATCTTATCCCCATGCAAAATTTCGTAAGGATCGGGCCATAAATGAGATCTGTATATGATATCCTGATATCCTAACTACTTAGTTTTGTTAGCTGTAGAAATATTAAAAAATATTTAATTCAAAATGAAAATATGCCAAAAATATGACAAAATTGAAAAAAACATGAGAAAATTTTACAAAATCAATATTTTCATCTTTAGAGAGATATTTTTTTGCGATTTTTTTAGACGTTTTTTCTTTCCTGCCAAGAGGCCATTCGGAATTAATGAGAACTGTCAAAATCAGTTCAGCCGTCTCGACATATAAGAGATTTTTCAAGCATATCTCCTTTGATAGATATATATATATATATATATATATATATATATATATATATATATATATATATATATATATATATATATATATATATATATATATATATATATATATATATATATCGCACATATTTTGCTATATATCCGATTTGTTGGATAATAACATCAATGTAAAGGTCAGAAGTAACCTTTTGATGGCTTTGTGATTTCGCCGGGATTTAAAATATTCACGGTTGGATAATAACATCAATGTAAAGGTCAGAAGTAACCTATTGATGGCTTTGTGATTTCGCCGGGATTTAAAATATTCACGGTTTAATGAAAAATTTTGATTTTTTTCAACACAAAAGATATGGTATATTTTACCCGCTAAATATTATCCGATGACCACCCAAATTAGTAGGCTTCTTCCCCGCCCTAAACTCTATCTACATGCGAAATTTCGCGTCGATTGGTCCATAATTGCGACCTGTATAGCTACTGCAAAATCCGACATTTTTTCAGTATTTGGTCCATTTCAACCCCTAAACATTTGGCGATCATCTCCAAAAGCAATAGGGTTCTATTCTGGTCCAAGCCCCACCTACATTCTAAATTTCGTGAAGATCGGGCCATAATTGCGACCTGTAGAGTGATTACAAATTAACATGGACAGACGGACAGACGGACAGACGGACAGACGGACGGACGGACATACATAGCTAGATCGACTCAGCTCGGCGAGCTAGGAAGATCCATATATACTTTCCTATGTGGGAAATCAATATTTCGAGGTGTTACATAATTTTTGGCCCAATCAAACTTATAATACCCCCAACACATAGTGTTGTAGGGTATAAAAATCCATGTTCGGTAATTGACTTCAAAAAATATTTTTCACAAAAATCCAGGTTTGGTAATTGACCTAAAAAAATATTTTTCAAAAAATCCAGGTTTGGTAATTGACCTAAAAAAATATTTTTAAAAAATCCACCTTTGATGGTGTCCTTTAAAATAATATTTTTAAAAAATCCAGGTTTGGTAATTGACTTTAAAATATGTTTTTAAAAAATCCAGGTTTGATAATTGACTTCAAAAAATATTTTTAAAAAATCGACGTCTGTTTATTGACTTCAAAAAATATTTTAAAAAAATCCAAATTTGTTTATTGACTTCAAAAAATATTTTTAAAAAAATCCAAGTTTGGTAACTGACTTCAAAAAATATTTTTAAAAAATCCAGGTTGACTTCAAAAAATATTTTTCAAAAAAATCCAGGTTCGGTAATTGACTTCAAAAAATATTTTTAAAAAACCACGTTTGCTTATTGACTTCAAAAAGTATTTTTCAAAAAATCCACGTTTGTTTATTGACTTAAAAAACCATTTTTTAAAAATCCACATTTGTTGATGACTTTGAAAAAATATTTAAAAAATCCACCTATATTTTAAAAAAATCCACGTTTGTTGATGACTGAAGAAATATTAAAAAAAATTACGTTAATTTTAAAAAAAATCAACGGTTGTTGATGACTTTGAAAAAATATTTTCTTAAAAAGTCCACGTTTGTTGATGTCCATGAAAAAAAGTTTAAAAAATCCACGTTTGTTGATGTCCATGAAAAAAATATTTTTTTTAAAAAAATCCACAATCAGTAATCGTCTCCAAAATTAAAAAAAAACACGATTATTAATATTATCCGAAAAATATTTTTAAAAAATTCGCGACTTTTTATACCCTTCTTTAAAAATATTTTTTAAAAAATCCACGATTGTTATTAATCCTTAAAAATGTTTTAAAAAAAATCCACGATTATTAATAATCCTAAAATATTTGTTAAAAATCCACGATTATTAAAAGCTTCGAAAATATTTTTAAGAAAATCCACAATAATTAATATTTTTAAGAAAATTCACGATTATTAACAATCTTTGAATATATTTTTTAAAAAATCCACGATTATAAAAAGTCTTCGAAAAATAAATTTTAAAAAAGCCACAATTATTAACAATCTTTGAATATATTTTTTAAAAAATCCACGATTATTAAAAGTCTGCGATATATATTTTTTAAAAAATCCACGATTATTAAAAGTCTTTGAAAAATAATTTTTTAAAAAATCCACGATTATTAAAAGTCTTTGAAAAATAATTTTTAAAAAATCCACGATTATTAAAAGTCTGCGATATATATTTTTTAAAAAATCCACGATTATTAAAAGTCTTCGAAAAATAATTTTTAAAAAATCCACGATTATTAACAATCCTTAAATATATATTTTAAAAAGTCCACGATTATTAATAGTCTTCGAAAAATCATTTTTAAAAGTCCACGATTATTAATAGTCTTCGAAAAATCATTTTTAAAAATCCACGATTATTAAAAATCCTTGAATATATTTTTTAAAAAATCCACGATTATTAAAAATCCTTGAATATATTTTTTAAAAAATCCACGATTATTAAAAATCCTTGAATATATTTTTTAAAAAATCCACGATTATTAAAAATCCTTGAATATATTTTTTAAAAAATCCACGATTATTAAAAATCCTTGAATATATTTTTAAAAAAATCCACGATTATTAAAAATTCTTGAATATTTTTTTTTAAAAAATCCACGATTATTAAAAATCCTTGAATATATTTTTTAAAAAATCCACGATTATTCAAAATTCTTAAAAAATATTTTTTAAAAAATCCACGATTGTTATTAATCCTTAAAAATGTTTTTTTTTAAATTTACGATTGTTATTAATCCTTAAAAATGTTTTTTTTTTTTTTTAAATCAACGATTATTAATAATACTTAAAAATATTTCTTAAAATATCTACGATTATTAGCGATTTTTAAATATATTTTTTTTAAAAAATCCACGATTATTAGCGATCTTTAAATATATTTTTTTAAAAAATCCACGATTCACGAATCTTAATAATCCTTAATTTTTTTTTTAAATCCGCGATTATTAGGAGTCTCCTAAAAATATTTTTTAAAAAAATCCACAATTTTTAATAATCCTTAAAAATCTTTTTTATTATTTTTAAAAAAAATTGCGATTATAGATAGTCCTTGAAAAGTATTTTTAAAAATCTCACGATTAATAGATCTTCGGAAAATATTTTTAGAGAATTTATGAGAATTAGTGGTCTCCAAAATATATTTTTAAAAAATCCACAATTATAAATAGTCACGAAAAAATATTTTTTAAAAAGCCATGAATGTTAATTGTCTTTTGAAAATATTTTTAAAAAAAATCCACGATTATTAATAGTCTCCGAAAAATATTTAAAAAAAATCTACAATTATAGTCTCCGAAAAATATTTTTAAAAAATCTGCGATTATTAAGAGTCTCCGAAAAATATTTTTAAAAAATATAAGATTATTTGTCTCCGACAAATATTTTTATAAGAAATACACGATTATTTAAAGTCTTCGAAAAATATTTGTAAAACTATACCCAATTATCAATAATCTCCTGAAAATATTAAAAAAAAAATCCATAATTATTAAAGTCTCCGAAAAATATTTGTTAAAATTTTACAATTAATAATAGTCTCCCAAAAATATTTTTTTTAATGCGCAATTATTAATGGTCTCCTGAAAATATATTTTTTTAATCGACGGTTACTAATAGTCTCCTGAAAATATTTTTTAAAAAATCCACGAATCTTAAGAGCCTTTTTAAAAAATCCACGGTTATTCGAAGTTTATTTATTATTTTCCGAAAATATTTATATAAAAAAATCCACGATTATTAAAAGTATCGGAAAAATACCTTTAAAAAATCTCCGATTATTAATAGTCTCCAAAAAAATATTTTTAAAAAAATCTCAGATTATTAATAGTATCCGAAAATGGCTTGGCCACTCTGTCTTCTTGTTGGAAAATGTAATTCCCTTATTTTTTGTTTATTTGTTTGTTGAGCCGAGAATATAAGATTGCGTTTGGGTTGGTGATACTCTTGTTTTGTTTTTTTTTTTGTCTGTCTTATTCGCATCAAAAGTCAAGCCAAGCAAGCCAGGCACCACGCTACGGCACCCAACAGCAGCGGCAGCAAATCTCGTCGCATGTAAACATTGACCAGCTTGTCGGCCAACAAAATTCTGAATTCAGTTGAAGCTCGACTTTCAAGAGCATCACAAGCATTTTCGAACGTCTTATCGGTAGAGTCAATGCCAACAATCGTAAAAAAACAATTTTGAAATACTGAATATTCAGTTTTGAAATATTAACCGTGGTGGCGAGAGAAAGAGAGAGTGAGAGACCGTGTGATAGTAATTTCGATAATTACTCTGGGCAATTGCAATTAAAACAAAAAAATAAATATAAATATTAATAATCATAAAATAAAAGCAACAAATAATAAGTGAAGAGGAGTCAATAATATTTCAAAAAAATATTGAAACCAGTAAGCTGGTTAATAAATAAAATAAAAAATTGAGAAAAGTGATTATTAAAACGTTTTGAAAGTAAACAATTTACCCCCTCAATTATCATGGAATTTAAAATCATTTTTATTTCGTTGGTGTTATCAATATTGTGGCAGGCGTATGGAAAAGCTGCGGAAATACCCGATGATGGGAAATGTAAGTTGGGAATTTTTCAGAGAATTTTTTTTTTTTTACGAAATTTAATAATATTTTTGAGATTAAAAATATCTGAACTTTGTGATATCTAACTTGTTCCGCTTTACAATGTAATGACCTTGAAAATATTGAAATTGCTATCTGTTAGGCTCAGTTTTTATGGTTTCCATGGGGGAAGGGGAAAACTAGTTTAGTTATTGTCTCATTTGGAAAAAAAAAAGTTCTTCTGAGCCAAAACCGGCTAAAGAACGTTGGTAAACCCTATACATATTTTAAATCTGGTAATTATTGAAAATGGGATTTAAAAAATTCAAAATCTGCTCAAGAATTTTGGTAAACCCCATATTCTAAGCACGGACATTTATAAAAAAAATACAGTTTGAAAATTTAGAAAAAAAATAAAACCAGAAAAAACAGAAATATGGGGTTTACCAATATTTATGTTGCTAGCACGAAAACTTATGAAAAAATTAATTAAAAAAAATAATTAAAAGAGTTTATCTTGAATTTATAAATAAATATGACATAGACTTCTAACGAAGATAAATTATTGAGAAGTCAGATTTTGTCAGATTCCCTTGTGACCCATTCGCTTTGACCAGTTGAGCATCTGGCAGACAGCCGGTTTAAAATTCGCAAATCGTTTTATTTTTTTGTTTGAGAAATTTGAATTTTAAATTTATTTTGAGAATATATTTTGGGTTATTTATAAATCTAATCAATTTGCCAGATCGATTTGGCAAATTGGAAATTTCTATCAGTAAAAAAAAACTTGAAAAAATTATGCTCCACATAATTTATGGGAATTTTATTCTGAAAAGGAAATATAAAAAAAAAATTATAAAAAATTAAAATTAAAAAAAATATAAAAAAATAAAAATTGGAAAGTTCTACTAGTAAAAAAGAACTTGCAAAAATTATGCTCCACATAACTTATAGGAATTTTATTCTAAAAAGGAAAATATAAAAAAATATAAAAAAATAAAAAAAAAATATAAACTGCCTTCGAAAATTAATTTTTTATATCTATAATTATAATTGTGGTTTTAAAATTATTAAAATTATTATTATTAATAATTAATAAAATTATTAATTAAAAATATTTTATAACAAAGTTAATAACCTTTATTATATAATATTTTTAATTATATTTTATTATTATTATTATCTCTGCAAAAAAAAAAAAAAATAAAAATCTACGATTATTAACAGACCCCGAAAAATATTTTTAAAAATGCATGACTATTAATAGTTCCGTAAAAATATTTACAAAAAAATCCAGGAGTCTCCGGAAAATATTTTTAAAAAATTCAAGATTATTAAAACTCTCCTAAAATTTATTGAAAGATCCACGATTTTTAATAGGTTTCGAAAAAAATATTTTTAAAAAATCTACAATTATTAACAGACCCTGGAATATATTTTTAAAAAACCAAGATTGCTAAGAGTCTCAGGAAAATATTTTTAAAAAATCCAAAATTACTAAGGGTCACCTAAAAATATTTAAAAAAAAATCTACGATTATTAATGGTCTCCTGAAAATATTTTTTTAAAAAAAATCCAAGATTATTAAAAGTTTCGAAAAATATTTTAAAAAAATCCACTATTATTGAATATCTTTGAAAAAAATTTTTTTTTAATCCACAATTATTGATAGTCTCCGAAGAAATATTAAAAAAAAAATCTACGATTATTAATACTCTCTTGAAAATTTTTTAAAAAAATCCACGATTATTAAAAATCTCGGAAAATATCTCAAAAAAATCCACCATCATTAATAGTCTCCGAAAAGTATTTTTAGAAAGTCCACGATTATCAATAGTTTCCGAAAATTATTTTTTTTAAAAATCCCAGATTATTAATAGTCTCTAATTACTTCTTCATCACAAACACAATACCTAATTAAAAAAAAAAAAAAAAACAAGTAAAAAAACATTAAGTTCGGCCGGGCCAAACTTTTAATACCCTCCACCTTAGGCTTTTACCCTAAACATTAGAAGAAATGTGGCAAAAACCATTAAATTACCGAATATCGTTAGGTACCGTTATATGGGGGCTATACCAAAACGTAGACCTATAATTACAATGTTTCGCTACACTAACTAGGACCCATTATGACCCACAAATACCAATTTTTAGACAAATCAGTGAAAAAATGTGACAAAAACCATAAATATCGGGATGTACCGTTATATGGGGGCTATATCAAATCATGGACCCATGCATGCAATGTTTCGCCACCGGAGCTGGAAACCATTATGACCCACAAATACCAATTTTTAGACAAATCCGTGAAAAAATGTGGCAAAAAAAACTAAAATACCGAATATCGGGAGGTACTTTTATATGGGGGCTATACCACAACGTGGACCTATACATGCAATGTTTTGCCACACGCTCAGGGACCTGTTATGACCTACAAATACCAATTTCCTGACAAATCCGTGAAAAAATGTGGCATAAATCATCAAAATACCGAATATCGGGAGGTACCGTTATATGGGGACTATACCAGAACGTGGACCGATATATCTCATTTTCAATACCAACCATCCTAGACACAATGCAAATAGCTCTGCTAAATTTTGGCGCTCTACGTCAAATAATGTGGGCTGTATCGTGATTTCAACAGACAGACGGACAGACAGACAGACGGACATCGTTAAATCGACTTAGAATTTTATGCTGATTATGAATATATATACTTTATGGGGTCTAAGACGAATATTTAAGGATGTTACAAACGGAATGACAAAGTTAATATACCCTCGTTTCCAAGGTGGAGTGTATAAAAAAACACTAAGGTATACTGTTCCATATTAAGTACCATTTAGTACAGTTCGCACACTTAGTACATATTTCAATAATCATCTTTCATTTATCATACCTCCTACCAACCTCAATTCTCATACAAAATTTCAAGGTTTTAGCTCTATCCATTCCAAAGGTACCATTTTAGAATTTGTACTATTTTAGAGCTTTTCGTAACCTTAAAGTTCGAATTTCCGAAAAACTTTTGGAACATCTATCCTGCATCCATCCGTCAGTTACTCGTATTCTGTATTTCATAATTGTAGCTCATTTCGCGTTCAATACAAAGTATTAAAATTTTGGTACATTTTGGTACTTTTCGTATCCTTTTAGTACGAATTTTAAAAAAAACCCAGCCTAATCACATGCCTATGGTATTTTGATTATTTAAACCACATTTTTTTACAAAATTATTTTAAATTTTGCTAAAATTTAAACTTACCTCCTGTGGACCCACATTGTCTAATTTTCCTATAGCGCCCATGCAACAGATAGTCGGTATTTAAAAGATTTCAGGGTCAAATATTGTGCCATGTTTTTTTTTTTTTTTAATTTCTATATCATAATAGGCTCTATCACCGATGTCAGAATATAGTCCTATTAGTCCACTGCTTCCATATAACGATACCTGCCAATATTCCGTATTTTTATGAATCTGGCCTCATTTTCGCACAAAATTGTTTCAAATTTGTTATTTAAGACTTACAATACATAACAGTCCTTGAAGTAGAAAAAAATCTATAGCCCTTTAAAATATTATAAAAAAAAATATTTAAAAAAATCAGGATTGTTCATGCCCTTTAAAAATATATTTTTTTCAAATCTGCGACGATTGAATGTCCCTTTAAAATATTGTTTAGAAATCCATGTCTTTTGGTCTGAATGAAATGTTCTTAAAAAATCCACACTAAGGCTTTTGAAAAAATATTATGTAACAAATCAACATTAAATTAAAAAAAAAATAAATTATTATATTTTCTTTTCTTGTTGTTCTTCTTCTTCTGTCTGCTTAAAAGAATACTACAATATATTACAAAAATTCACTGCTTTGTTTTACAACTCAATGTTGGACTTCAAAACCGGTTTAAAATTTTGATAAAATTTTCATCCTAGGTTGAGCAAGTTACGAATGACGATTGTGGTTAAAAAAATAGAATATCGGTTGGGAAGCCTTCCCATCTCAAATTCCCATTGTTTTCCTTACAGGAATAAAATTAAATAAATAATAAATTAAAAAAAAAATATGGACTCAAAAAATTTAAATTTCAATCAATTCATGGCCGACCTTAAAAATATCTGTTATCGAGATCTACGCTCTTGATCTCAAAGGAATTGCCGTTGAAATTTCAAACGTCAGTTACCGCTAAAATACAATTAAATCTCGCAACAATGTTGGGCTAATCAAAAATACTTGTATTCGCTGTTTTTGTTTTCAGTTTTTATTTTATTTTTTTTTTCGTGCTATGCTTCATTAGGGGACCTTCTTCATGATTGGCAGATCCTCAAGTACAACTTCAAAAAAAAAAAAAAAATACAAACCCTGCTGCAAAAATTAATCTCCGATGCGGCTCCATGTTCCATCGATTATGATCATATGTTTGAATTTTTTTTTTCATCTTCAACAGCAATTAATACCTACATGAGGAGGGCTTAACCCTCCCTCCACTTGAATGTATATATTTCTGTCTGGCTCTTCATATATTGCCATTAAAATAAAACAAGATTTTTTTTTTCGTCCCCAGCTATGATGACTACTTGTAGGACAAGTAGTTCTACATTGAAATTTTAGTATTCGAACCAAAAACAAAACAAAAAAAAAAAAAAAGATTTCTGTGCGAATTGGCCTTGAAAATACGTTAACACGTTTTTTGATTTTTAGTTTTGCATTGGAGGGGAGAGGAGGGGACTTAAGGGGGTATTTTGTATTCTTGTTTATTAATAAAGCGGGGGATTTTTTATCTCTCTCTGGGCGTCTTCTCTGCTTTATAGTTCAAGTGAATGCGGCTGGTTTTCCAAACCGCTGATGAGTCACTGGCCCCCATTATTTTTAGTGACGTCGAAGCCATTGGGGTTTTGTGCATTATTTTTGAGGTATTGAAGTGGGGTGGTGGAGGTGTTGAATAGCCAATGGGATTTTGAATGTAATCACTGGCCGGGTCATTAGTTGGCTTATTAAAAATTTCAATTTA